CCTAAACCTTATCTTATTTCACATTTGGTCATGTTGCAGTTACAAACTTAAATGGGATACTGTAGCAATAATTAGAACCGCTGCATAAAGCCAAACATGCCACAGTTAAATGAATCAAAATGTCCCTATAGCGGACTGGTATAGGGGCTACCGGGGGAGATTCCAGGTAGATCCAGAGATGCGCATTGCAGCGGCTTCGGGCCGGCCCAAGGTAATGTGAGGCCTCATCTACTCACCCCAAGGGTTTTAAGAGGCCCTTTCATCTCTCAGACAGAAGCTGTCACGTTTACCGACATGTCTTGTCCTGTTCTACAGTACTCTTGCACTTTGTTGCTTGGTACATTTTGCATTAAGGAACCATTCAAACTGGGTCGAATGCTGTTAATGATAGTTGAAATCCCCAAATAAAACAAAAAAAAGTTTCAATGTTAAAATAGCACTTACAGTTTTATGTTTAATAAGCCTCAATAAATTGAAACAATTTTGTAATGGGGACTCGGGACAACATTTCACCATAGTGGTTTGTATCCATTGTGGCTGCGCTGATTAATTATTATACTTCTAGATCTCCCTTTATGCATGTTAAAGCCCCAGGGGAAGGTCCAGGCATTTTCATTGCTCCCTGACCGCCCTTGGCTACTTGAACAACCAATGAAGTCCAGAAAGAAAGAAAGAAAGAAAAAAGAAAGAAGGAAAAAAGAAAGAAAGAAAGAAAGAAAGATAGATAGATAGATAGATAGATAGATAGATAGATAGATAGATAGATAGATAGATAGATTTTTTTTGTCATAGCAACAGGTAAACCCGTACAGTAGCTGCTGTATGGCTTCTGTCCACACCTTTGTTTGAATTTTCTACTTTCACGTGACTAAGGTCGTCACTGCTTCTCAAATACCGGAAGTAGTTGTTGTGTTGTTGTTGCACCACAGCTGCTGTCATGTGATAGCCTGTCTGAGAAAGCTGCTGTGATCAGTAGCTTTTTACCTTTGTCCGGGAGTAAATTAAAAGCAGGCAGGCGAGCAGCTTTATGTTCGTTGCGGAAGAACCACACGGCTCGTTTGTGAAGGAGAGCAGGGAAGCCGGGGTTGTGTAGTTTGACCCCTCGGACGCAGCCATGGGTTGCTGTTACAGTGGCGAGGACGGCAACTCCAGAGAGGTAGCTAGCTGCTAGCCGAAATGATAACTGATTTCTTGCTTATTAAGAAAGAACTAAGACTCGACGCTTTTTCACTTTTTTCATTGATGTTTAATGACTAATATGAGCAATGTGTTGATATGAAGAAGTCGCTTTGAGATTGTTTATAATGGGAAGCCGGAAAGTAGCATTAGCTTGCTAAGCTTGCGGGACAGGCCCAGCAGAGGCTAAGTTGCTCATAAAAGTTTATATAACTTAAAACGGTACAATATAAAACACTAAATTTAAACATTTTTGGATATCTGTGTGCAAGTAAATCTCTCTATATTAATGGCTTACATAACACGGATGTTCATGAGCAGATAGGTATCCGTAATGTAAAAAGTACTGATTTCTTTACTAGATATTGGCTTAATAATCAATAAATGTTTACCAGCAGGAACATCTTTGATATGACAGAAACTATCTGAATGTAAGCTGTGTCACATGACTGTTAACATTCTCTGCTGTTTTTAGTTTAAGGAAACGAGCCCTCTGTGAGCTGGAAGTTTTCTCTTGAAGGGTTTAAGTTCATAAAACAAGACGTAAAGATACACTGCAACTTTCCCCAAAACATTATCGATGTTGGCATTTAACTGAGTGACATAGTGAAAATATTAGAATAATAAGGGCACAGTGATTGATTTATGACTGGATTTTTTTAGTCAAGCTTTAGCAAACGATACAATCTAACATGAAAATAAAACATTTTGATTAACACATTGTTTTTTATACATTGTAATACGACATGAAACCTTAGAGAGGTTTACTTTTTCCATTATTTTTATGAATTGGAATTGAATAAAATGCCGACAAACATGGGATCTCTGAGGTTCCGTTATTGTTTAGCTACGGAAACTTCTATTTCTATTTGGAAAATGTAAATAATATGTTCATATATAGACACATACACATTTACACAATGAAAGCAAATAAAACAAAATAAAGAAAATTACAGTCCTTCACTGATTTAAGTTGAATACCTGAAAAGAAATATCAAGGAAAAGACCCTTATGCTATTCCACCTCTTTAGTACTTTAAATATAAAAACATGATGAAGGCATAGCAGGTTCTTAGATTTTTGCTTCAGAATTGATTTATTTTTCAGCCCTAACCTTGATTGTAGCAACATGTGCTGCTTGGTGTATGGGTGCTAGTTAAACTAAAGAGACTGATGCATCAAACTTTCCTTAAGCTTTAATTTTGCATCCAGTGAAAAAGGCACTTTTTTACATAAATAGCAGAAGACAAAATGTTATTTCGCTTCCCTTCTTACTTTGCTCTAGAAGCCTGAGGAGACTGATCCACTGATCCCCCATCCGAACCCTGTGAGCAAACCTCCAAATGGGACAGAGTGGCCCACCCCCGGTGTCCCCTCTCCACCGACAGATGGACAAGCCCTCCTTACATCCATCTTGACAAAGACTGCGCAGTAAGTAACGTCTTTGTTCAATGCCAGAAAAGTCTCACTGTGATTTGTACTTCCTGACAGTGAAATCCAATTTATTTGTGTTGGGGGGGAAAAAAAAAAGATAATTTTCCTTTTTCTTTTAGGAACATAATTGACGTCTCAGCAGCTGACTCTGTTGTAATGGAGCAACATGAAATCATGGACAAAGCTAGGCAGTACAGGTATGTTGAAAGTTTATATATATATATATTTTCCTCTTTTCGGTAACTGTATGTCTGTCTGCATGCCAGGGAAATCACAGGCACACAAAGAAATACTGCTCTAAACGAAACATACCCTATTTTTTTAAAGAGTCTTCTTCAGGCTACCAGCTACATAAAGAAGTGTAATTTTTTAAATCACTAAGCTGCACAAAGTAGAGGCATTTAATCATATTTTCTACTTTATTGATTGTCTCAACCTCAACAGTCCCACCAGTTTTTCTTTTGAGTTTTCAAACATCATTGTCCAGCCCTACTTGTAAGAACAAAACAACTACAAGATCAATTATGATCTTGTAATTAAAAAAAAAAAATACAACACTGCTATGGAGGGATTCACAAAAATAATAGAGGTATCAGGATTTCAGTATTTTTTTTTGTTTTACTTTTTTTTTTTTACACCTTTGTTTGGTGTATAATTGTGTGTCCATTTTTGAGTATGGATGGATGAATGTGGCTGTAGTGTAAAGCACTCTGAGTCAGTATGACTGGAAAAGAAGCTATATAAACTCAGACCATTTAATGTTTATTCCATTATTTACAAGATAAATCTGTTTTGTCTATACGTTATCCATCTGTGGATCAATTTCTCTGTCCATTTGTGCATTATCCCATTCTTCCATCTGTTTGTCTCTGCTTTTAGCAAATTTAATACATTGAAGCCAGACCGCTGTAGAAATATCTGCCATAATTTGATTAAATGAGGCCAAAAAAAAGAACTGAGAAATTTGAGTCAGAAAAAAAAATAATAATTTTGACACACAAAAGTTGAACCCTGAGAAAATGTTCTTGCATTTTCTCCTCCTGATGGTTCAAGAAGATCTTCTTGAACCCTAAGAATGAAAGTCTTATGCAGTGTCATCTTGTTGTGATTGGATGGTTTAACGTACAGGTGTAGATAAAACTGTAGGTTCTTAAAACACAGACTTCCTTTCATAGAGAAGGGATGATGTGTTCCAGACTAAATGTGTCCTTATTTTTAAACCCAGTAGGAATTACAAACTTTTCCCCCCCTCTTTCAGTACAAAACTGGCTATGTTGAGCACCAGCTTGCCTCAGAAGAAAGCCCTCACTCTTCCCTCCCTAACTAGCCAGCCCCACCAAGTGCTTGCAAGTGACCTGGTGCCATACTCGGATGTTCAGCAGGTAAGCTGTGTTGTTTTAAAAGAGCTAACAGAGGTTTTTAAACAAAATAAAACACACACTAGTTTTCCTTTTTTTTTTTTTTCCTTGCGTCATTCTTTTCTATTTTGCACCCAGTATACATTCTCCCTTTTCATGTTTCTTTGCAGGTATCCAAGATAGCAGCTTACGCTTACAGTGCAATCTCTCAAATCAAAGTGGATGCTAAAGAGGAACTGGTCGTCCAGTTTGCCATTCCTTGACTGTCAAATGCATATTGTTCCTCCCGCCCCACTCGCTCTGTGCCACTCCTGCTTCGTCGTACTCCAGCCCACCTTTTCATTATTTAATTAAAGCATTTTGGTCATCCTGCTTCGTAGCTCTGCCACGAACTTTTGTGAAGACAGGAAGTGAATCGCCTCCCACCAGAAAACAACAACTGTCTTTTAGTAAAATTCTTGAGCGTTATTGGCAGATGGGCCATGTAGGTGGGTTTCGAGTTCTTGACCGATGTGTATGATGATTCACTATCAGCGAGGCCTCCTCTGTGTGTAACACATGCGTTAGGCTTTGTCCAAAAGATGTAAAATAAATCAATATTCATAATATTCTAGGGTTTCAGGGTCTTTTCCGTGTCTTTAGACTTTATTTTCAGATGGGCACACTGTAGTCACATCATGTTATCAGATGAGACAGCTCATGGTTCACACCCTGATCAATAAGTCACATTGTGTGAGACATTTTGAATTTTTACAGTGCCGTGGATGTGAATGACAGTCGTAGTTTTTTACTTGCAAAGAACTTGGGACATGGCTTCATGTTTGTACATCATATAAGTTTAAAACTAAAGTGTTTTTCAGTTAGTTTTCTCTAAAAAGTAAAAAAAAAAAAAAAAAAAGTCAAATCCAGCTTGAAAAGAGTAATTAGCATATTTCTCCCCTGAGAAGTTAAGCTGTTGTTTCACCCTGCATTGAACAGCAGGAGTGCTGAATACATGCAGCTCATCTGGTGTCATTCTGAATCAAGAAAAAACAACTTTAGTTTCAGTTTTCATTTCAGCTCCTGATGGTTTAATCTGTCTTTCACCTGACCATATCATGATTAACCAGTTCATTTCCGGAGGATAAGGATTAAAACACAAGCGGAGGCGTGGGCTAGTTGGATCTCCTGAAATGTTTGAGCTTAACGCACTAGTTTACAGAAGGAGATGTTCAAGAATCCTGTCCTCCTGATGAATTGGGCACGAACTTAACATTTTAAACGACAGGGTTAGAAAATCGAGGGTGACGCAAGTGGCCTGTGGAGGATGCAAAGGCTCGCCCTAAGATCGTTACCTTTGTACAGAATTTTCCGATCGACTACATCTGTAGCTGGTGGATCGTATGAAGGCCCTGTGGGATGACAGTTTTTTATGAAACAAAAATGCTTTTCAGGTCTGCGATTGTTAGCTTTTTACTTAGCTTTTTTTTTTTTTTTTTTTTTTCCCGGTTTGGGGTTTTCATATTAATCAGAAACTAACTTGTTGCAGCATGGAAGAGTGTTGATCTATATACCCAAGGAGATTAAATAACCTCAGACTTTTTGCCGATTATTTATGTTTTTGTTTCTAACTGTACATGTGCTCTTTAAGGGAGGGCGCAACATGAGATGATCTCAAGTCGCTAAAGGGAGCCTGCAAGACTATTTATACCGCACAACTGATTAGAGCTTTTGTTATGCAATGAATTCTTGGCATTTTTTTTTTCTGTTACTTAAATGTATAATACATGGAAGACTGTATGTTTGTACTATCCTAGGCTAGTACCAAAAAGTTAAAAATATATATTTTTTTTTTGGTTTAATCAGTTCATTAAAAAGTTTCAAGAAAACAGTTGTGTCTTATTGTAGTGACATGTTCTGAGAAGTAGTTTATTTAGTGATGTTACAGAGTTTTAACAGATAATTTACAGCAAGAATCAAACATTTCTACAGGTTCATATAGTAGCATAACATTGAAATGTTACTTTATTTCTGTCATTCAAAAAGTAATTATGACATTGTATACATATATTGATATATTTCTAGGATTTAGAATTTGATGATTATGGCCTAAGGCTAATAAAAACCCCAAGTTCTGTCTCTTCGATAATTCCTCATGGATTGTTTGTGAGTTTATATCAGGAGAATTTGCTTGTCCGTCAAGCAAACTGGTCCACTAAACAAAAATTTCCTTCTTTTCCTTCTTAGTCCATGCAATATATTTCTGATGTCTCTGGTGCAGCAGGGGTTTAAAACCAGGAATACAAAAGTCATAGTCCATGTTCCGGATTGTTCTGTACCAGAACATGGACTGTAAATGACTTGCGGTGACTCTTAGCTCTTTGTGTTTCAACCTCACTGTGGAGAGGCTCAATAACTCTCTGCTGTCAAGCAGGCTGCCTTTCCAATGATTTTGTCAGACATAATATTTTTATGTAATATATCTTTATTGGTCTTGCATGATCTCTTAATTATGTGGGGAACTGAACGCTGGGGTTTCATTACTTGTAATCCATAATCATTTTTTTTTATTTTTTTTTAGAAATAAACACTTAAAAATGTAACACTGTGTATGTAATAAGTCATTAAATATTTCAGGTTTACATTTGAATTGTTGACATAGCATAACTGTTCAATATTATTCAACTTACAGGTGAGATGCACCTGTAAGTTCAGAGACGTTTGATTGATCACCTTGAGTTGCTTGAACTTAAACTTCATAATTTTCTAAACTTATATTCCATGCCATGATTAGATTTGAAAAATTGCTAGTTAATACGGGCTAAAATGTGAAACAAGTAGGTTTCACTGATGTTCTCAAACAACAAAAAAACTAAATTTCAGTTATTTATTTTTCTATTTCCAGCACAGAAACATCAAATTGTGACATTAAATTGCAAAAAATAATTATAACAACACTAATTTCAGTTCAAATACTGGTGGCAAACGTGCATATTTAAAAATCTGTTTTCTTGCAGTGAAGCTTTTGAATCGAGTTGTGATTCTCACACACTAGCATTCAGTGAAGGCTCTTCCTGCTGCTTCTGCAGCGGGAGTTGCTTTGATGCCACAGCTTTGCCAGGACTCGCTCCTGCTGTGTCACGGCACTGAAGTCCATCGTCTTTAACTGTGGCAATGCAGAAATCACACGATTCCTGCACACAGAAAACTACACACTGAATATTGCACCAATTTTTACTTCTTAAGAGTTTCTAGCTGTACCAGCTCTGAAAGCATTAAAGCTAATCTCACAAGTGTTGGATTTTGTGTTGAAAATCGAATGTAAAAAAAAAAAAACTGAACTGTTTAAGAAGTGATCACTGTTTTAACCAGCAGACATAAAAAAAGACATGATAGTTTCTCAACTGTGTATTGTGTGAGTGTGTGTGTTTAAGTGCTGTTGCTGTGCAGACCAAGACAGGAATTTGATCCGTGTTCAAGCACCTGTTACAATGTCGTCCACATACGTGCCTGCACAGCATTCAGGTCTAGAGTAATCCCTCTCTTCTGCTCTCCCTGTATTTGTCAACCAAAAGCACATACCTACTCTCTGTACTGTATGTATTGTGTACGTAGCAACAAATGACAACAGTAGATGACTGCATTTCTGAAGTCATATAAAAAAATGTTACAAGTAAAAGACCTCCCTGTAACATTGCCTCAACTCGGTAAGATGTGTATGTTAGAACAATGTCTCTACCTGTAAGTCTTGTTTGTCTCTATAGGGTTTCCATGTAGAGTGACGGAGTGAAGATGGGGGAGCACAGCCAACCTGTCCACCTCTGACAGAGTAGAAATATTGTTCCCATGAAGATATAACACACGGAGTCCATGCAACTCGCACAAAACCTGCAACATATTTGTCCGCAAACTTTATCACAAAGCAGTGAGTGGAATTTTATGACATGCCAACTTAAAATAGCTCGTAACTATAAAGTGGAAGGAGCATGATACATTAATTTCTGAACTTTTACACACACACAAAAAAAAATAAATAAAAAATCATCAGGTGTATATTTGCATTCAGCCTCCCCGAATCAACACTTTGAAGAACATTTTTGTACAGCAATTCGAGCTCCAGGTCTTTTTGAGTCCATATGTTGTTATCAGAATAAGGATGAGAGTTACATTTTTGAACGTTTCTTTTCTTTTTCTTTTTTTAAAATGCTTCAGCCTCATCAGCTGCTGGAGAGAATATGAACAGACATTTTCAAGTATTGCATCAGATTGTTAATTGCGATTTGGCTTGGACTTTGACAGAGCCATTCCAAATGCGGTACATGAATATGCAACTGTGCATTGATAAGTCACTTTCATGGGAGCTTTAGCCGCCTGTTTATGATTGTCACCTGCTGGAAGACGAGCCTCTTCCCCAGTAGCAAGTCTTTGCAATCTCCATGGACTTTGTTCTTCCTCACATTAACGCTCATCAGCTTCCCTTTCCCTGCTCAAGACAGATGATACTGACACAACTATGTTTCACTGTGGGGGTTGGGTGTACAGTGCTAATTTTCCATAGATGACAGCATTAAGGTTTAGCTTGTCTTATCTTGTGGTATTCTTCCACGTGTGTGTTTGCCTATGTCCTCTACATAGCTGTGGACAGAAAATATGACTTCTTAGGGTTCTCTTTCAACAACTGCTTCTCACGCCTCCCTCTTCCATAAATGGCCAGATTTGGAATGACTTATGAAATGCTCAGTGAAATGATGAAAGGTTGGGATAATATTTTATGACCAAAGCCGGTTTAACCTACAACTTTGTTCCTGATCTTCTGCTGTGTTTCTTTATCTTCATTCTTAAAACAATTGAATGCATAGGATTTCATTTAGGTTTATCGGAGTAGCAAGGGATAAATTCACATGTATGCCATCAAAATTTATCTGATTTTTTTAAAAAGAGTTTTGAAAACCTTGTATTAATTGAATTCTCGTTCACAATTATAATGCATCACTTTGTGTTGGTTTCTCATAATAATTTCAGAGAACGAATTAAATTTGCAGTTTTAACAAAAGATAAAAAGGCCTATGAATATTTTTGCAAGGCATTGTAGCTGCACTGGAAATGGTCAAATGAAACTCACCTTGTCTATATGTGAGAGTTTGTTGAAGGAGAGATCCAGCCAGGCGAGACTTGAGGGTTCAGCCAGGAAGTGGCTCACTGTCTGATGGAGGTCACACAGGTCCATAATGCTGTTGTTACTGAGACGGAGGGCGCGGCTAAGATATTTGCTTTCTGGATTTTTTTTTAAAGGTCGGAGACTGCTGCGAGGAGTCTCTGTCCAAGCATCTAAAACAGAAAATACAAGAAAGGGAGAGAATTTGACATTTTTTTTTACATTCTCACACTACTTTTGTCATGAAAATATTATTTTGCAACCAAAAACTATAGAAATCAAAAACAGACATGTTAATTTTTTATTATTGACTACATCACTTACTTTCTACATCTATGTAATGCAACTGATGTAACTCATCATAACCTCGCTCACCTTCCATCCTCTTCTGCCCCTTTGCAGACACTCTCACACCCATTAACTGCAGTCTAAGGACTGATTGAGACTCATTTATTCATCTATCTATCACTGAGGATACCACTAGAATTGTGTTATGTTCCAGAAACATGATGACAAATAAAAAAAACATTGTATGTCTTACAAGTCTAAGGAACTGAAGAGATTGATTGGATAATAAAAAGGGTCTGATTTAAAAAAATAAATGAATAAACATTTAAATTATTTTCATTAAAGAACACACATATGCTTCATTGTCCTTTCATTTTTAAAAATATAACTCAGTCAAATAGCATTGAGGCCCTACATTGCTGTTCATTTTGTATTTTCAATTAAGATAATCAGAAATGAAACTCAGAAATCAAGCTGATTATCAGAAAGTAGAACATTTAGGAGAGACAGCTCGGCCCTGCTGACATTTAGAGAAACCATGATGACGATCAAAACCTGTCAATCTGCTGAGACTTCTGAAAGATAAATCCACCGGAGCTCCACACATAGTCTTATCCATGAACACTTTCAACAACCTGCAGAATTAAGAGACATAAGTCTAGATAATTTTTGTGAGATTATTTAGCGTAGGTGTCTTTATATTTTTGACAATTAGTTAATCAGTGATATAAATTCCAAACTAACCAATGACGTAAAATTACCGTACAATAGATGTTCAAATTTTTCGGAGGGGCTCTTCTTTGCAGCAGCAGTCTTTACACACAACAATCTGATTCCAAGGCAACCAACACATGCATTCTGGGATTTGTAGTAAAGATAACTAGAGAACTAGTTAGTACGTCATTCACATGAAAAAAAAAAATGAATGCTGACTTTACAGGTTGAAATGATATTTGAGCCTATTAAGAAAAATGTGCTTGTGCAACCTCATATTAAATTACCAAACTTTTTATTAGTTTATTAAATTTTACTTTCCGGGCGCCAAGTCTTGTTTGACTACATAAAAAAGTCAGATTAAAACAGAATTTAATCGCGGTGTCGAATATAAATTTGTGTGCGTGTTCCTCTCTTGATTACTTTTTTTTGCATGATTAAACCATCGAGAAAGAGCAGACAAAACGCCCCCTTTTTAAATATGTCCATGTCGTCGCCATGTTGTGAGTGGCATTTTTGAGCTGTCATTGTGACAATTTCTATTTTTATATATTACAAAAGTAGCGCTAATAATATTACCGTCAAAACTGAATGGAGTAGTACCACGCGAAAAATTTTATTGAGAATATTCACATCCACCCATACTTTTTGACGTAAAAAAAAAAAGCTGAAATATATACAAAGTAAAACTATCTCTATTTTTATAACTGAAACTAACTTAATTTGGTTTGTTTTGTGCGAAACCTTTCCAAACATGCGGTAATGGGTTGCCACTTCCAACATGCCCCCCGAAAGAACAAACAAACAAAACAAAAAAAAAAAACAAGGCGAGGAAACGTCACAATCTTTACGTACCTACATCTTCCGGATTTTAATCCAATCGCCTTCATCTGTTTTCACATGCGTCAAAATGAGTACTCCGATTGGTTGGTTCAATCTTCTAAAGGCAGTTTGAATTTTTGTCGCGTTTCACCTGGTAAAACTCGTAGCTGTTGCTGTTAGTGTTAGAAGTTGATGTAGCACAAGACGGTACTGTTCAATAGGGAAGACTTGGCATTTTAGGTGAGTACCTGCTTAAAGGGAACATTTTTATCTTGGCTGAATTTTCGTGGAACGTTAATTAAGAAACGTCACTGTAATAATAGCTTAGCTTAAATAACGAAGATAGCATTGTTGCCATTTAAAAACTAAGAAATGCTGCAGAAAAAAAATGTCTTGTTAAATCGACAAGCACTCATATGGACTGAAATGTGTTCACATTTGTTTGCTCAAGTTCTTAGTAGCAAGCTGTTATTTTTCTTCCCCTCATAGTTTAAAATCCCTTTGAGATAAAGGGTCAACCAAGATGACAAACTTGGGTGTTAAGGCTCTTCTCAGTTGGGTAAGTTTAAGCTATTATTGGGTATCCATATGATAATAGAATACTTTTTTTTATTTACTAATTTTATTCCTAATTATTTTTGTACAGGTCAATAGTATCACTGCATTGAACAGCGAGATCCAGATCGATGATTTACAGGATGGGGCGGTCCTGGTGAAACTGATTCATATACTGTAAGTTGGAGCGTTGAAGTTCTGGGTTTGTTTGTGTAAACAAGGAGGTTCCCATGTCTTTTTAGACCTCACCTTGTTATTGGAGTAAAAGCTGTGTCTGACTGAATCACTTTTCACCCTTTCTCCTTCATTCGTTGTCCTAAAAGCTTCGTTTCTAACAAGATTTCACCACACGGTCTATGTTGAAGTGTTGAATTACTGATAATTTTCCAGTACTGAAATATTAATTTGGTTAACCTTAAGTGTTTGGATAATGTTTTCACAGTTTTTTTTTTTTTAATTTTCTACGTTTTTATTGCTATTTCTGTTGTGATATCTGGCTTATGGTGTATGCGATATTGTATTATTGATCACTGTTTTTCCAACAACTAAATATGCAAGGAAGTATTTAATTTATAATCACAAACACGTATGTCTAAAAATTAAACAGTGTAGTTTCATATAGTTATTTTGAAATTCCTAACAAGCAAGATAAGGTGAACAGCAACATAGTATTTCTCTATTTAAAATATGTCAAGTACAAAACATAATATGCAAAAACCACTGCAATGCCTAGTGTGTTGTATTTTGATTCCCAGTGTAAAATATATTTACAAGGTATATTAAATTTCCATAAATGTAAATGTTCCTACTGTCATACAGAGTGTGTTAGCATAGCCAATCTGGTTTATTTGAACAACTGTTTACCTTTTCACTTTAATTGTAATGACATTATAGCAGCTTATTTTTAATAGTATTAGTGGTTTTTCTTTTGATGCATAGATAATACTGTATGTTTTCTTGTGCAAGACTGATATGCATTTACAGTACACACATGGAAAATATAAGTCAAATGAAAAAATTGGAGAGAACTCATGAAGTGTCGGCTTCTTATGAAAAGGGATTCAAGTTTTGTGTTGCGTCCTTGATCATTGATTTTGTCATTTTGTGTTGTAACAGGAAAAAGAGGGAAATCCCTTGTTTCAGTGATTCTTTTGAGGATCGGGTTCGTTTCATTACAGAGTTTCTGGAAGGTAAGCTTTATTTATTACTTTAAAATATGCATAAAATGTTTAATATGTTGCCTATTCCAACTTGCGAGAATCAAGTAATTAATTTGCCAACACTTTGCATGCAGTCAAGATCTTCAGAAACCTGCTAGTTGAAATCAGTCCTTGAGGGTGCAGTGGACCCGAATGTTTGTAATTCTAACTGGGAATTACTCTCATTTCCCAGTTAGAAACAGTATAAGCCAGCCTACTTTTGCTGGACAACTGGCATAGTTAGTTGTAACAAAAAAATAAAATATAATGTCAAGAACAAAACATGGTAAGCAAAAACCACTGCAATGCTTAGTGTATTATATTTTGATTCCCAGTGGGTCGGTTTGACGGTCGGTACCTTTGACGGGACCTACCCAACTTTAAAGTTTATAATTTGAGCAGGATCTCTATGCAGTTGGGTAGTACAAACTTATAACTGAATTGTGTTTAAAGTATTATGGAATTACAAATGACGAGCTATGACTATCATCTCTGTAAAGCAGCTGACTGCAAACTACTAATAAGTAATATTAGCTTGTACTTGTTACAATATAAGGAGCAGAATGGCATAGGGAGATTTTCTGCTTTGTAAGTATTTATAATTATTTAACATGATTCAGTTTATCCATGATGTATCTGTTATACATAAATATAAACATTTGTAAGCAGATTCACAACAATAGGAAGAATTATTACTTTTATGTTTTTAACATGTTTGTTTATTTTTTCTTTAGTTGGAATAATTGGGGCTCTTGCATTTAAAAAAAAATCATGCCATTATTTTTAATAGAAGCACAGAAGGTTTTGAGTACTTGGGAAGTAAATTTCTGTCTCTTTTTTTTCAACAGGAGAATGCAAATTTAACCCAACTAAAGGCACCCCTATATCATGGGACAGCATTAAAGACGGAAAGCAGCTAACGGTGGAAATTTCAAAGGTTAATAACAAAGGAGATCAAATGTGGTGAAATGAATGATCCAAGCATAAATTAAAACCCATTCTGATTATATTTTGCTTTGTTCTCAGGTACTTTTGTTGCTGTTTTATCATGACATGATGAATGATCGCCACACTCTTAGTGAACTGGATTGTGATGCAGAGGTAAGCAGAAGTATAATACATGATGAAAAAAAACTGTATTTTGTTCACTGCAGTGCTTAATATCGTGACATGTAACTGAAATTGATTGTCCATATATGTATATTTCCCTCTGTTAGCGTGAGCTTGCCAACATGACCGACTTTTATGTGAGCGAGAAAGAAGGTTGTGTTTATCTGAACAAAACACTGGATGCACACTTGACAAGGAGATGTAAGTCTAAACCTTTAACCCATAAATACCAGTGTGTGTGAGCTACTGATTTGGACTGACATAAAAACTACAAACCTGTTCAGATCTGCCTGTATGTCGACAAATCTTTCACAATTCGTCATCCGACTCCACTTCCACCTCCAATTTGTCCACCACCTCCTCAGTCTCAGACGATGAGGCTCCAGTCTTTCTGCGTACACAGAAGGTCGGCTTTGTAGGTCTAGAAACGGTGGCTTCCTCCTCTGTCAGGTATTGAGTTTGCTTAGTTGGACCTTCTGTTTATTATAACTCCAATTAAGCCTCTTTGAATTTGGATGTACGACTCTCGTTCTTTAACTTTTGTTTTTGCAGCAAATCTCCTCTGGCTGAGGTCATGAATACACCTAAGTTTCAGTTGAGAAAAATGCGAAGACAGATGATCAAAGAGAGAGAATCCAGAGATGATTTGGAGAAGCAGCTAGCCAGCACAATTACACTAATTACCCAGAAAGGTAGAACAAATAACTCATTATGCAAGGTTTATTTCTCTTTTCTTGTTATCTTTTTCCATTTCTACTTGTACTCTATTTTTTTCTTTTTTTCCCCTGATTTTAAAATTTTTTTTTTTAGAATCTCATATCAACCAGTTGCAGTACCGCCTAGATAAGGTGAAAGAGGAACAAAGAAATCAGGAGCAGACCATCAGCGAACAAATCACTGAGCTTGAGGCCAAAAACGACTCGTAAGTGTGCAAATATGATTTAAATAAATGTCTTAACCTATCTAATGCAATTCAATACCATCTGAAATAAGGTGAGAGAAGTTTATCGTGATAGATATAAAGGTATAAAAAGGTAAAGAAAAAAAAAATTGTGATTAATTTCCTTAGGTTGCAGTTGCGCCTTAACGAGCTGCTAAAGGAAAACAAAGATTTGAAGAGTACCTCTATTCATATGGAGCGGAAGGTGGATGAACTTGCAGGAGAAAATGGCGATCTCTCCTTCCAGGTAATTATGAGTAAACTCTACTTTCTATTAAATTCATTAGCGCTTAACAAGCTCTGTGTGTATGCCAGTGTAATGCCATTGCTCCTATTGTAAAAAGGGTTTGGCACACAGCCACATAGTACATATAGATTTTGTCTGTTTTAGCCCTTAAAACTAGAAAATTAAATGTTTATTGCAGGCCTAATTCTAAAAGATGTTTGAATTATTGTCAGATGAGAGCTTTATGTTCCAAGTTGGCCGTCTTTGAAGCAGA